GGCTACCCACCCAGCACATGCAGGGTTCTCTGGTCTCTTGAGTCCCCAACCTGCTCACCCCACAGACTGTGGGCGCTCTGGAGCTGAAGCCCAGCATTGGCCTGCTGGGGCCGGGAGGGGGAATGACACCTGGCACAGGTATGCAGGGAGGGGCAGAAGTTTCCTCTGCAGCCACCCAAATCTGAAATAGTTTTTCTCCTTCCTCCTGCCAGAGATAATTGCAACCTGTTATTCAGGTTATGAAATTGCCCAGCAAAGTCACAGGAGAAAAGCCCTACAGTCCTAGCCTGGCTGGCCTAGGCTCAGATAAGGGAGCCCCAGGGTAGTACGTGCTCAAGGGGAGGGGGGAGGGGAGGGGGAGGGGAGGAGATAGTATGAGGATGGGGAGTGGGGCACGGGAGGGCATGAATTGCTGCAAGCTGCCCCACTCCTCCCTGACTTGAGGGCCCGTTGTCCACCCTTACTGTCCTTGGGCCTTTCCCTCTGTCCTGTACTTCCCTATGTCTCCCTTCTGATTCAAGGCCATATGCATAAGCTCCAAGCATGCCCTTCTTTTCCATGGCAGGTCTTGTCTCCTGCAGTAAAAGCTCGATGAATATTTGGAGACTGAACAAATCGGATTCTTGCACAGTCCTGGAAGGTTAGGATAGTTAAATCACCAGATGGAGAAGGAAGCTGATGTTCAGAGAGGGCAAGTGACTTGTCTGAGGCCACATGGCCAATTGTGGAATTCATTCCTGAAGCATTCTCTGAGTGTCTGTGGGAAAGCAGGTGGGGTACCAGGCACAGGCGATATGGCAATGAGTGAGATGAGCTGTGGAGTGTCCTGGGCCTTTGCACTTGCTAGTCTCTCTGGTTGACACTGTCCCTTGCCTCTGCCTGGAAGGTGCCTATTCATCCTTCAGGCCTCAGTGTAAGAAATCACATCCTCTGGGAAGCTTTCCCTGACCCTCCAAGTCAAGATTAAATACCTACCTGTTCTCCTGGGTGGGGGTGCATCCATCATGGCACCCCATGCTGTCATAAGGAATGTGATTTCCTGTGATTGGTTCAGGAGTGAGCATGGGATTCAAGCAAGGCCAATTAGTCTTCCCTGGGATAGATGTATGGAAACTGGGGAGAGAAAAGCTTTTTTCTCCCTGGAGATGCTAAGCTAGATGTCTTTAGTCTGGGGTTGCTGGGGTCCCTTTCTCAGCCACTACAATATGTCACTTCCTATTGTAGACATGTCCTGCCAGAAGAGGCAAATGCAGGGCATGTGGTCTTGGTCTTGAAAGAATCAGGTAGTGAAACACTTGTGATGCTGGGAAAGAAGAATGAATTTTGGGATCAGACAGACCTGGGTTTGCCACTTACTAGTTGTGTCGTTTTGGGGCACACCTCTCTGGGCCTTGATGTCCTCCTTTGTAAAATGAGGGGAATGCTATCTACCTGTCCTGGAAGGGCTGTCAGGCAGGGAGGCAAGCTATCTAGAAGGGATCTGCAGGCCTGACAGCAGCACCCATCCCCTCCCTGTTGGCAGGCCCCATTCACCCCTGCTGCTTCCTGCTAGTGCACCTCCATGGCAGGATTCCCATATAGATGTTTGTTCTTTGTGCAGGACCAAAATGTCCTCACAGCTTCTCTCTGCCTGCTTGTTTGTGACATTTCTTAAAGGCCCCGCAGGAGCCGGAACATCAGCTTCTTCCTGTTTCCTGGAGCCCTCTGTACACAGGTGCCTTTCAGCTCAACCATGACCTGTCCCAGCGCCAAGGTAGACAGGGAAAGGGTTAGTGTCCCTGCAGGCTGGGAAGGTTGAGCAGAGCACCCTGGTGGAGAAATAAGTGGGTGTTCTCCCTGCCTAACCCTGGCTCCTGGTCCTCCTGTGGCTTCCTAACAATCCCCCCATTAAGACGCCTTGTCATGCTTCACAGTGAGCCCTGATTTGGGGGCTTCCCCTCCAGGCAGCAGCTCTGGAGCGTCTTCTTCATGGGCGTCCCGGCGCTAGCACTAAGGCGGATAGTAGGTGTGCAGTAGGTGTTGCTGGCAGGAAGTTGGTGGCTTCCTGCATAGGAAAGGCCATCAGGAGTATCCCTCATCTAAAAGGCTCCTGTCTTTTCACCGCATGCCCAACATTTTCTCCAGGGTCGAATTCTGCCCAGAGGACACTCTCAGACTTTAGAATCTAACCTGCTGCTTCTGGAAATTCAGGCTCCGCCATTTTCCTCATCATCCCTGGAAGGGGGGATGCTGTCTGTTCTTCCATGGGCTTCTTTCTGTTCTGCTCATCTCTGCCACCACCCTACGTGGGTGGGGATTCATTGCAAGGGGCGAATCCTGTGTGCGTAGGTGTGTGAGATGGAGGCTCACAGAGATAACGACAGTGCCTAAGGGAGACAGACCCAGGAGGAAAGAGACAAGACAGAGGCATCAACAGAACAAAAAAGAAGCAGACACTAAGAGACGGCAAGTGACAGACATATTGATAGACACACACATGAATGCACATGTGGGTCTGGGTGCTGCTTTAGGGTCCTACCTGGAAACAGGGGATGTTCACAACCCTACCCAAACCCAGTTGGCCCTTGCCATGAATTTGCAATCAGCCTCCAAAGCTGTCCTGAGCACCCACGATCATGGCCCAGGCCTTTGTGAAGTAATCAAAGTAACAAGAGGCCACCTTTCATTCTCTAAATGGTCCTTCTAATAAAGCCCTGGAATTTACAGGCAATTATTGATTGTGTCACCAATACAGAGGGAGATAAACAGTGAATAAATCCATAAACAATAAGGCTGGTGGCTCGAACAATTTGTTCCAGTGACATTTATTTTGGAAAGAAATAAGCCTATTATTTTCGTTATGCCCTGTTTTGATTTTATTTGTTGGTTTTAATGGTCTTTTCGATCTCTGGCCAATGGTGGCATTATTGGCCCATTTTGGAAAGAAATAAGCCTATTATTTTCGTTATGCCCTGTTTTAATTTTATTTGTTGGTTTTAATGGTCTTTTCGATCTCTGGCCAATGGTGGCATTATTGGCCCAGTAAGAGCTGCATAGCAAGAAAGGCCATCTGCCTGCTTGATATGAAGATATGAAAAGGTACAGGG